GACCATGCCCCTCAAGGTGTCCTGTAGGAGATGCTTTGGGATTATGGGAAGTCTGTCCCGTTGCTACGGGCCATACAATAGTTGAAGGAGCTTGGTCCGCATAGCCAGCAATAAGTCAGACTTGTTTCTAGTGGCTGATGGACTCCTCCAAGGCTGCCTTTTGTCACCAATTCTGTTCATAATTATCACAGACAGAATTTCTAGGTGTAGTCAAGTGACGGAAGGCTTTTACTTGAGTGGTCTCAGAATCTCATCTCTACTTTTTGCAGATGGGGCCGTTCTGTTCACCTCATCAGGTGATGGCCTTCAGCTTGCACTGGAGTGGTTCACAGCCTAGTGTGAAGCATCGGGAATGAGAATCGGCACCTCCAAATCAAAGGCTATGGTGCTCAGCCCAAAAAGGGTGCAGTGCCAACTCCAGTTCAGGGACGCGTTCCCCTCCCAAGTGGAGGACTTTAAGTATCTCAGGATTTTGTTCACGAGTGAGGGGGGAAGGAAGTTGGAGATCAACAGGCGAATTGGTGCTGTGGCTGCAGTGATGCAGACACTATACTGGTCCATTGGGCTGAAGAGAGAGCTGAGTGTAAAAGCGAAGCTCTAAATTTACTGATTGATCTACATCGCTACCCTCACCTATGGTCATTAGCTTTGGGTAGTGACCAAAAGAACAAGATTGTGGATACAAGCAGCGTTAATTAGCTTTCTCCGTGGGTGGCTGGCCTCTCCCTTAGAGATAGAGTGAGGAGTTTGGCTATCCAGGAGGGGCTCAGAGTGGAGCTGCTGCTCCTCCACATCAAAAGGAGCTAGTGGAGGTGGTTCGGGCATCTAACTAGGATGCCTCCTGGGTGTGGTGTTCCGGGTATGCCCCGGTGAATGCCCCGGATGGATATTAATTAAACTTGTAGTTGGATATAGTATGATTAGAATTAAGCATAATTAACTATTAGCAAAACTGCATTCAGATAAACCCTGTTTTAACACTCTGTATCACTTTATTGATGAAAAGACTGGATGTTAAGTACTTTTATTTATATTTTGGATAAAGATAAGCCGTGGGATCTTAATCTCTTTGACAGTTCTTATGTTTGATTAGATGACCTGTGTTTAAGGAGGAAAATGAGAGACCAGGAGAAAAAGTAGGTGAAGTTACACTTGTTCTTGAACTCATTGGAAAGTTAAACTCATAACTGAAAATTCTACTTTAAGAGTCCCTTAAGTTGAAAACGTATTTTGTGTTTATATAGAGTAGTGTTTATATAAAATTACACATTAAAGCTGTGACAATTATGTTTCTTATTGCAGTGATTTCTCTAAACTAGTAACAAACAAAAGCAAATGCTAAATCCTAACTCAGATTATTTTAACTGTACTGTTTTTAATTGTATGATGATTTACAAACATGACTAACCCATTTCTTTTGGTGAGTGTTCTCTATTCCCAATGGCGGTATGCTATCCACACAGTTTCAGCTTGAATCAACAACTTTTGGAGAATTTTTCTCTTTGCTGTTCTGTCATAAAACAAATGGATTGATGGGTTTTAGGCATTCTTAATACAACTGAAGAGGTTGGTTTTACGTCTAAATGAATTTGCTACTGTAGCATTATTTTCTAGTGTGTTTCCTAATCCAGCCATATTACGTGAAAAGAACTAGAAAGTCTTTCCTCACTGAGTAAAAATAAAAACTGAAAGCCACACTTGGATGCTGGGAGATCTGACTTATGGCAACATGACTGCCTAATGATTGACCTAATGCTATGAAAGAAAATGGACATAGCTGAAAATATAACCAAAATATAATTTTCACTCACAAATATCACATTTAGTATTAGCTTCAAGAAAGAAAAATAAAGAAAGAAAGCATATGCAATTTAATGACAGGACATTTATTGTGAATAAAAGCTCACATTACAATAAAGCTTGAGGCTGCTGGAAAAAAA